TATATATATACATATTTTTTTTTGTTTATATATATTAATATTTAATTCTAGATAGGTTGCTTTTATCATAGCCGATACAGAATTATATAAACTAAGAGACAGATTAAAGATGCAGTCCAAATTTAATTTGTACCCACTTTTGTCAAAGTAGATATATATATATATTATATATATGTATTAGTTTAAAATGTATATATAAATTAGCCTTTGATATCAAAGTGGATATAAATCATCTGGGTTCTGCTTATTGAATCTACAAAACGTACCAAAGCTGTTATTGTCTATAGCGGCTGACATAAAAACGAATTTATGATGATTTGTGATTAAATATGTTTTCATAGGTATTATTTAAATATAATACAACTTTTCTTTATACTATTTGTTATATACACACGTATGTTATGTATATATTTTTTAAAGCCATTTCATTGTTCCTTAGTTCATTGCACTTGATTGAAATTCCTTTGTTGTTAATGGTCAGGTACTCTGATGTCTGATTCACTCTATTATTGAAAGCGCAATTAATTGTTTAATTACAACATTTTAAAACCATAAAAATTTGTTTAAGATAACATTTTATTGGCGGAACAGTCAGACTACTTTGAAAAATTTAAATTCTGTTTAAATTTTTATTGATTTAAAATATATTTTTATACGAAATATATTAAAATATTAAATATTTCTAAACTAGATGACTGTGATTCACGTTTGTAAAACATTCTTATTAGTTCTATATTAAAGCAGAAATAAATAATAAAAAAATCTCACTAGAACGATTTGAAGTTTTGCAAATTGTAATTGAATTATATATACATATATTTATATCTATATAATTCCGATTAGATGAGGAGTCAAGCCTTTAAACTTAAAATATTTATCATTAACTGAGTACAGTATTCTTTGGTTACATTAAAAATCATTAATAGCAAAAAAAATCTGTGTTCCATATTTTTTAAGCATCGATTACTTAATATAGTCAAACTTCTATAACTCGAAGTGTCATTTTGCAGAGAAAAGGTTCAACTTATGAAGACTTCCTTTTTAGTAATTATATGTAATTTGCTCTCTAAACCACACGGTGCAACAGTGCACTCTATGTAGTTCGAGTTATAGAAAATTCGAATTATAGAAATTCAAGTTATGGAAGTTTAGCTGTACTTGTAATATTATAACAATTTGAAAAGTAATTACCTACTGCTGGACTTGTCATCATGATATTAAATATTTCACGGAATTCACTACTACGTGTTTTATGCAATTCATTGAGTCAGTCAATAATTTCCAGTTATTTGACTCCAATGACTTATGATTTGATTTATTTGATCTAATACAATGACTTTCAGTTCAAATACTGAAAATATAAAATAAAAGAGACAAACCTAAATCTTATCTGAAAATAGTGGAAGATACTTTATTTAAAAAAAAATGTCTTAAAACTTTTGCTGCAACTTAGCATTGGGCCTCTGTCGCCGTGGCTCGTATTAAGAAATTTAAATTTGCCGATAATCATTATCTTTATTAGTACGTATATTGTGCACTATAAATACGATTGTAATCTATTTTTCGGGTTTGTTTTGTATTAGGAAAACCAACTCTTGTAGTCAAGCGAATTCTAATAAAGTATTTATTCAAATATATCAGTGGTATGGATTTGCGCTTCTATGGCAAATTTTTGATATCTTTGTTTTGATGCTTTAAATATTTGAAGTAGATATAAAACAAATTTATCTATGACAGTAGCTAACAGTTATGCTTATCAGTATTTTATTTAAAAAAAGAATTCTTTAAAAAAAAATTAATCCATATATTTTTATTTTACTAAACCATTTAGAATACTTTTAAAACTCACAAAAAAGTTTTTATATTGAAATCAACAAATGGCCGGTTATATTATTTAATTCTTACTTCTATTGGAAGTTTGTTTTCCAGTTAGTTTTGTTACGAGTCATTAATTTTAATTCGTTTCTCAATGCTCCATTTTCATCTTAAATTGTTCTTATCCAAGATATCTGTCGTCAACCATGTCGTCTAATACCCTGAAGATTTCATATCTATGCTACATATACGATGTTGCGTAGTTTTTAATCTATACAACGTTATCATATTAATATCGTAATAAGATTTCTATATATTTTTCAATGACGTCGTGTTTTCATGCCCACAAAAGGTACACGATGTTGATTCCATCTTATGGAATTGGCTAGTTATAATCAGAATTATTCTTACATTTAAAGTTTTTCCAACTAAAGTCACATTCTACTATTAATCTGGTTCCCCACATCGTATTCCAACGCTTATGTATGGCATGTAAACGTACTCTACAAGTCTCTTCTGTTATAATAACAAAACCTAATGTATCACGATTATAAACTTTTAACAGAGTTACAAATTTAATCAAAAGAACCCATACAGTTTCTATTAACTATTAAAGAACTTTTATCCTAGATAAGTTAAGTATTTAGTAATGTTATCGTTTCCACGGTCAACTAAAAAAATATTCATTTACCAAACTCTCAAGTTTAATTTCCCTGAAAGTATTTTATTTATTATTATTTATATTTTCTTTATTACTGGCCTATACCCTGTTAAAGTAGGATTTATAAGACACCCCGACTGCCTAGAATTAAAGAGGAACCAGCTCTCTTTTGATCTCCCCCATATATTGTAGCCTAAACAATTTACTGCTTTCTGGAAAGTCCACCTTAGTTTGTCTTCCTTATAGTAGGCTCTAACGCTGAAACTAGTAATACCAATCAGAGTCGTCCATGACACCGACTCTAAGACATAGTCTAACCATTGATTGGATTAGCTAAACACAATGTACAACTTTTTAATGATTTTATTGAATTTCATTTTTATTCAAATTATTTTTTCCAATTTAATTTCATGCTTCTTCGATTTGTAGGCGTCTGGACACGCACCAAACGGCGATTTTTTCATTTAGCAAAGAAAATACCTGCTGTTCAACGAAAAATTGAAGATGAAATGGCTAGGGCTACAAAAGATTTTGAAGGAGAAATGATCAAAAGCTGTGGGGACTTAAGTTACGCTCTCGAGCTGCCAGAGAAGGGCTTAAATAAACAACAAATTCTTCAACTTGTTGACGAACATTTAAAAATAAGTCGTTATGATTGGCGTGATGGACGTGTGTCTGGTGCTGTTTATGGTTTCAAAGAAGAATTGGTGGAAATAATAACACAAGTATATGGTAAAGCTTCATATACAAACCCACTGCATCCCGATATTTTTCCTGGTGTATGTAAAATGGAGGCTGAAGTAGTACGCATGGCTTGTGCACTTTTTCATGGAAACAAAGATTCTTGTGGTACTGTAAGTATATAGTCAATGATATAAATTAAATAATATTTTAATTAATCTTGCACATCAATACAGATGACAACCGGTGGAACAGAATCCATCATATTGGCATGTAAAGCTTACCGTGATTTTGCACGTGAGAACAAAGGAATCACAAAACCAAATATGGTTGTACCAAAAACAGCACATGCTGCATTCGATAAAGCGGCACAGTACTTCAATATACACATTAATTATGTTAACGTTAATCCGGAGACTACTGAGGTTGATCTGAAAGCAATGAAACGTGCCATTAATTGTAATACAATTTTGGTTAGTATCACAGATAAACTACACTTATATTAGTATTAAACTAAACTCATTTTATCTAATTTCAGCTTGTTGGTTCTGCACCCAATTTCCCTTATGGCACCATGGATGATATTGATCAAATAGCAGCTTTAGGTTTGAAGTACAACATTCCTGTACATGTCGACGCTTGTCTTGGTAGTTTTGTGGTTGCCTTAACAAAAGAAGCTGGTTATGCCATCAAACCCTTTGACTTTTCTGTTAAAGGCGTTACAAGCATATCCGCCGATACTCATAAGGTACAAATATGGTATTTCGAATAGTAAATATTAATGTTAATTTATGTTTTTAGTATGGTTTTGCACCAAAAGGATCTTCAATTATTTTATATGCTGACAAAAAATACCGCGATCATCAGTTTACTGTTACTACTGATTGGCCTGGTGGTGTTTATGGTTCACCTACCATTAACGGCTCACGGGCTGGTGGTATTATTGCGGCTTGCTGGGCAACAATGATGAACTTTGGACATGATGGTTATTTAGAGGCTACAAAACGAATTGTAGATACCTCACGATATGTAGAGCGAAAGTAAGAAAAGAATAATATTTCAAGAAATAATAGAAATTTAGAAGTTTTAAAAATCTACAACAGGAATATGTCAATATTTTGACAAATATTTTAGATTGTAGATAATCTTACTAGTTAATAGCTTTACATAATAAAAATCCTAAAGATAAATCGACAGTAGAGCATTCAGTACTATATACTGAACCATTTGGTATCAAGCACACATTCACTTCAACCGCAAACTTTAGACAATGCGCATTAGTCTTGAGTGGATGCATACCTTTTAGCGAATATTTGCCCATGACGGTGTAGATGAGTATTTTTTTCCCTTCCTCCCGAATTACAACTACAACTGAAGTAAATAGATAAACCAAATGATATTTCCAAATGATATTTATTACAATGTCGTATATTGTTTAATAAATTATTATAAAATAAATAATATAAATGTATTCTACAAATTGTTTATGTAATATTATAGATATTTGTTGTGTTTTATAATTTTTATAAAATTCTAATATATCTCATTCATTTTCAGAATTCGTGAAATTGATAGTATCTTTGTATTTGGCAAACCAGCAACATCAGTCATAGCAATCGGTTCAAAAGTTTTCGATATTTACCGACTTTCGGATGCACTTACTCAATTAGGCTGGAATTTAAATACATTACAATTTCCCTCGGGGTGGGTAGAATTGGCATCTTTACTTATATATTTTTTAAAAATTAATTTATAATTGTATATACTATTTGCAGCATACATATTTGCATAACAGATATGCATACGAACGCAGGCGTTGCCGATAGATTCCTTAATGACTTACGCTCATCTGTTGCTGAAATAATGAAAAATCCCGGAAAACCAGTTGAAGGAAAAATGGCTATATATGGTGTAGCTCAAACTATACCTGATCGTTCTGTTGTTGGAGATGTAACACGTTGTTTCTTAAATAGCATGTACTACACCCCACCAAAAAAGTAAAGGCATTTCCATAAAGTTTTAACGGTTTAAGATTTTTTTTAAATAGTGTACTGCTCTTTGGATTTACACTTCACACTTTTTAAGTAATATTATTTATGTAAAGTTGTTATTGTTGCATTTAGTAATCAACATTGTCAAATTAAATTTCTTTTTGTATGTACTCTTATTACAAATTTTTTAATGTAGTTCTTTATATAGAATATAAGTAAAAATCACGTTCTGTAAGATCAATTTATATGTTAAAATCATATTAAAAACACAGAATTTTAAAAGCGTTTGTGAAATAAATGTTTTCTAAGAAATTTTGTCTTTAACAATAAATTATACTGTGCAGTTTTAGAATATTAAAAATCAGATATGCTAGGTGTAGTAAAAAAGTATAAAAACTTTATTAGATTCAAAATACTATGTTAAATATAGCTTTTACTTATATCATATACTATTTGTTTATTACATTATTGCGGTACATTAAAAAATTTAGCTCTATGACACAAATATCTCTCACAAAGGAAAGTTAAGGATTTTAATTCAATAATATATGTACTTCTATTCTTTCACTATTAAGTGCCTTTTGGTTCCTAAAAATTACTTCTTATAATGTAATGTTAATTAAAATGCAATTATAAACTAACTATATATATATATAGTCTTTTCTTGATTTAAGTTACTATTCCTGCAATTAATAACGCCCTTACCTTTGATCTTATGAATTTAATTTGCGCTTAATATTATCACAAATAGCTACATTATACAAGAAACACTTTTTATTGATATCAATCCATCAAAATACATATAAATAATTATTATAAAACATTATTTTGTGGATTTATATTTATATATAGCAGCAATTCGACACACATTCTCCTATAAACAAACTTCCTCATCTTCACAGGCACTAAAAATAAAGTTACAATTTGTTTCGTAGATACTCCCAGTGATTAAAAACAAACAAACAAGCCATCACCAGCATTAACATAAATCTTGCTGACAATAGAAGACTAGAAATGCTTCTATTTACATGATGTATATATGCAAGTGTATCTTTTTGATATTTCGAGTTCACACCAAAATAAATCTTATTTAAAAAATAGTGTCTTATGTATATGTAAACAAGTTAGTACAATTTATTATGGATTGTATAGATCTTTGTGAAATGTGTAATACGGAAGTGTGATATATAGTATAAGGTGCTTGTTTATAAATCTGTAACAAGAAACATTGTGGAACAATCGCAAAGCATGAGAAACGATATAACAAATTTACCCAGCATTGACAACTTAAGCAGAACAGAGAATCGCCAGTGCATATATGTAAACATTTCGGAATTGACTTGAATACATATGTCCACAATAACTTAAATATATTAGTGTGCACCTAATTTAGGTAAGTAAGGAATTATGTTTTGTTCTTCAATATCTTTTATCAAAATAAAGGCATTTTTGCAGTGTAAAAAAATATCAATATATTAAAAAAAATGATCGGTTTTATATACAAAAAATATTCTTATACATAGCTAATAAAAAAGTATGAAAGGCAGAAATTTTTAGGATCGATTTATTTTACAGCCATAACTTAAGTCACAAATATTACACAACTGCTAACGTTAAAAGTCAGTTCTTGATATATGATTCCATCTGTTTCGTTTATGTGTCGTTTCTCCAATTAAATTAATTTGAGAAGTAATATGTAATAATAGATCTTCCTGGAACCTATGCTATCATGGATGTCGTTCCATGAATAACTTCCATCCATCAGTTTGCACTCCACTGCTCTCTTATACTCATATGTCATAACTTGCGCATTGGATCGCCTAAAATCGCGTTCCATCTCATGGTCTGTCAAGCAATATTTCCGTCGGACATTTTCTTACGTGTACTAAACCAAAATCTACATGCTGGTTTTATGTATAATAGAAGAGTTATATTTTATGCTCTACAGATAGAGCATAATAGTTAGATAGATAAAAACACCCACACTAAAGATGACAAGTTACAAAGTAAATTCTAACGTACATTAATATCCATTACATCTATTGTTATTGTATATACTAGTAACCATATTATTTATTATTATATTTTACTGATTTATATTTTTTTAACACCTTGTATATGGTTTCAGTGCTTAAAAAACGTAGTAATAAGTTTTTCAGGTTCGTAAAGTAAACCAACACCCACGATCGACCGCCCCTACCTTTGCTGCACATATTGAAGAAAATGAATGTAAATCTATTCAAATTTCTTTAAAACGAATTCATTGAAGATTTATTTTAGTAAAATCAACTTTTTATCTTCGTTGAGTATTTTTTTTCAATCATTGATGAATTTCTGATGTGTCAATCTATGCAAAACCAAAGCAGCTTAATATGTAACTAAATAGAAAAATTTTTTGAAAGCAATACATGTCTCAATAAATAAATATAAGTTAAATCGAATTGTGAAATTATTAGTTTCGCCAAACTTTTATTGTTAAACAATTTGGTACACGACGAGGTTTCTGATAGACATCTGAAACCGAAAGAAGTTACCATAGGCGCGATATTTCAGGTAACTAACAGTCTCGCCAGCAGGGTCGTCCCTGGAATAATGGTATTGCTTTCCCTTTTAATAGAAAAAGTAGAGTTTATTGACGTGTTATCCAACAAATCACCATGGTCTGCGTTATCATCTTAATAGAATGCTTCTATTTAAGTAGGTAGAATGAAGGCTCTACATGGAGATTAATAAGAGTTCTACTCACATTCTTTGTGACTGTCGTGCTTAGATCTGGGTCAGCAGGTGACTATTAAACCGGGAGTTCCTATCCCTACCTGAAGTTAGTATATTCTTACAACCTGACATTTTCTCATTCACTGAATAGTTTGTGTCTTCTATTCAGTTGTGATTCTTTAGCAGCATAAAGATCAGTCATATTAGCAGTGCTGCTAGAAACCAGTATTTCGCATATTCTTGACTCTAACTGTATTATTATTAATGTGAAAACGTAAGAAATTTATTTTAATATATATTAACTTTATGAAATCTATTAATAAGACATCTATTTGATTTATAATATCGTAATAATAATAATATAAATATATTATTTCTTTTCGAAGTTGTTAAAGTTATAGTAAAATTTTATTAAATATTTTTTTTATTTTAAATTTTTAAAGTCAAAACATATATAATTTGATTATATTATATACACAAATTAATGTATATTTGTATATTTACTTATTAACAACCACTCAAGAAATGAGATTGCTCACAGCATATGCGATTCGTGTTTGATTTTATCATTATACTTATCTAGTAAATAAATATATTTATATACATATGTGCACACATATGTCATTACTATAACAACAAATATATGCAGCAAATAACATAATATAATATATAAAATTTTTATTAAATATTAATATATGTACATATATATGTAAATATTATACATATATGAAAAATAATCGTTGCAATAACACCAACAAAAAGCCATCCACCCACTTACTCATCCACTTACTCGTTCCAGGAGCCCACAACAACTCATTACAACAAATATACAAATAACCACAGTCGGCAATCGACAGACATAACAACGCCGAAGGAACATTTTTGGCCAACAAAAAACTTGTCTCACCGCACCATAATCAGTCAAGACGAAAAGCTGAAAATTCTGTTTTTATATGAAAATTAAAATGCGCATATGTTTGTGAGCAAAAATTGCCAAAATAAAAAAATTAAGACAACAAATTCATGATGTTGTTGTTATTGTTGTAAAACAAGTTTTATTCGACAACAATCACACGCAACAAAACACAACAGCGAACCTGTGCCGCGTTCGCTTCGATCATTGTTTGAAGTCGGTTTGGTTTTAAAGTTGGTGGACTGATATTGTTAATACAGACAGAGTTGCCAAGTATTAATGTTTATATGTAATTATTGCTTATATTTTTATGACGTTATATTTCTGAAAACATGTTGAAGAACTTTTTTTCTATAAGGACAATACATTTACATATGACAACCTTTATTTGTATGATCCAACCACATCAGGGTCACTAAATAACGTACGTTTGTTCTTGATTTACATTGCATGAGTCTTCTCCTCTCATGATAATACAAGTAATGTTGAGCCTTTTCCGAGTTAGTGCGTCTGGGCACTTTTACTCTTTGATGGCAGGCGAGTTTCTGCAGAGTTTCACCCATCTCAGTAACTAATTTATGTATTCCTCATAAGCTTCTTGATTATTCAATGACTGATCTAAGATCTGCGTACCGCCCGTGCGGTTAGTGATTACTCTGAAATTAGATAGTGCTAAGTAGGACAGCCTGTCGGTTTTCGCATATAGCTTCAAAACTCTGTCCTTTATGTGTTTTTTGACCGGATCTATTCTAATGTCGCTTAACATGTCATTCGTGCGTATGTCCACGGCACTTTGAAGAGCCTTCGGAGAGCCTGACTTTGAGCAACTTGTAGCTTCTGGATAGTAGAGTCGGCAGCTTTGCTATACACGACACAGCCGGGGAGAATATTTTATGTAAAGAAGACTATTCCTTCTATGAGTTATGTTTTCATATTTTTCATATTCTGATATGGAGATAATGTCCATCTCTCATATATTTAATACTTCTTTTTTTTTGATCAGATTTTATGTGGATCAAAATATATTCTTTGATTTCGTTCGATTTTATTCGTTTTCTCCTAATTTGATATTTAATGTAATTACTTTATTTATCTCTGATAGATATTAATTTACTAATTTACTTATTTAGATTAAGTTTAAAGAGCCTATACTAAAATCTTACAGAGCTAAAAAACTATAAAAACGATTTTTAATGTTAATTTGGTTTCTTGCCAAGAGTAACGCGCTTTTATGACGAAAAGAAACTATTAAAAAGTTAGACGGATTCGCATTGCAAGGAAAAGATAAGGACAAAAATTTATTTAATTTATTGAAATTTGGCTGACCATTCAACGCTGTTTCAAGTACTGTCAATTACTCTTCAATAGTGGAGTTAGGAAATATTCGAATTTCTTAATTAGTTTATAGTCCGTATATAATTTGTTTGGACAATTTTTAACTTTTTTGATATATATATTTATGCTTAAAAATTTCTATAAGTTTTTGTAGGACACCCATTAATGCATCCATTTATTATTTATTTAATTGAC